AATCTGTGGCTTCTCTGTCGTGGGAGGGGGTCACTCAGGAGCCGGACCGCCACCAGGGCATCTGGGGGCTGCCGAGAAGTGGGCGGGTGGTGGGGGGGCAGCAGCCAGTTGGGTCCTAGGGTTGTTCTGGGCTCACCAGGACCAAGAGTGGAATGAGGCCATCTGCTGACACCTGTACTTTTATTCAGCCCAGGGGTGGTGACTGCGTAATGAGCACAAGACAACTCTAATCTCATCATCGATCGGGGCCCCAGGGACAAGGCAGCTGAAGCACGTAGAGTTCCAATTCTGTCCCCCCCACCTTATGTATTTGCTGTGTAACTTTGGATAGTTCTTCTTTTCCACGAGCCTCAGTTTCCCCATCTCTAAAGTAGGAATAAAAATAGTATCCAACTCATAAGCTTTCGAGGAAGGGTGAATCAGAAAATGTGAACGAGCGAGGCTTTGTCAATGCCAAGCACTGTGAAAATTTCATTATCACGTCTCAGGCAGGAGTCATGGCCTCTGAAGATCCTACCTTTCTTTGAAGAACTCACGTCCACACGAAAGCTGGCCAGGCGGCACATCCCTAGCATTGAGAATAAGTAATGGATCTCATCAGTGGCCAATTCTGGCTCCTTAATGGAAAGAGGAAACCTCTGCATTGTGTTGGGTGGGTTCTCGAAAGGCACTCCATCTTTGTGTTTCCGTTCTCTCCTTTAAAAGCAGTGCCTTCCGGACCCCTCAGCCCATGAACTGTCACCAACCTGATGGATAAACCTTTTGCGAGTGTTTATTTTGGGGTTGGCGAGATGCCTGCAGGCTTTGGTGAACCCATGGTTGATATTATTAATGGATGGGTGGTTTTTTCTTTCTTCTTAAAAGAAGGAGAATGTGAATGAGTGTTCCCCTTGCAGGATGCATTCAGAGCAGGCATGTGGCGTGGTACTGGGGGCGCCATCGGGTCCTGAGCCTGGTCCGGCAGGAAGGTGGATGTGGGCGCTGGTTTTCTTCTACAGTTTGCAGCCTCTGGTTCCTTTGCTTTTTCCTTCCAAGGAAGAAAAAATCCTTGATTCCCGGTTGGCTGAGGGGTGGTGAGCTGCCCAGACGCCCGAGTAATAATTGGGTAGCCTGGTCAAGACCCAGGCAGGGCTAGTCTATGATCCTGCATCAAATAGGAGACTCCCTAATTGGTTTCTCCTCTCTTAAGGGCAGTTTCTCGCCAAAAAATTGGTACGTTTTATAGGGAAATAAAAAATCCTGGGGCCCTTGTTTGTAATTCTCTTGGCTATCAATTTGGTTCATGTCAGGAACCATCTTTGGTTATAGACTTAGAATGGTCTCAGAATTTTCTTTGGGTTGAAATTTGGAGATCTCGCATCACATAGGCAGTTATTCAACCCAAAGACCCCATCGGAGGGTCCAGCTTTCATATTGGCCCTTAGGCCCCATCAAACTCAATTAGCATCTATTAAGTGCCTTGACGAGGTGGGGACATTCGGACCCCTTTCACAGGCATTGACTTACCACCCACTGTATTTTTAAAACCAAAGTAAAACATCCCTGTCCCATGGCTTTTTAATTTTTTTTTCCTAAAGCCTGGAAGCTGCCCTTTGATGATGAAATTAGTGAAAGAGAAAGGGTCAGTTTACCCACAGGTGCCAAGGTCAAGCCCTGAGATACTGCCTTGAGCCCCCCTGGCGATGGAAAACCTTACCTGTCTCCCCGATGCTTCCTGGGTTCATTCTTGAAATTCATTTCCCCAGGCCACTTTCTTCGGAAATTTAACGTTTCCCAATGTTAACATGGGAACAAAATGATTACTAGAAATCAGTTTCTAGTAATTCATTTTAAAAGCACTTGGGACTGTCATGCATCTCATTAGAGTAGGATGTGCTTAGGTGCATGGCTATAGCTTGTAGGCCTCCTAGAAAGAAAAGATGATAAATGGAGGGTCGCTGTGGGTCAGAGATTCAAATATTAAGATAATGTCTGTTCTCTGGATACCTGGGATTTGACTGCAAGGAATAGAGGTTGGGTGAAGGTAGAGCAAGAAGAAGAAATCAGTGAAATCACTGAGACATCAACTAGTGCCAAATATGAGCAGAAAACAGCTAGAAACCCCTCGAGGGAGGAGTTTCTGGGTTGGGGCAGGCAAAGATGGCAGCCAGGAGCAGCTGCTTGCCCTGGGGGTTGGGGCAGGCGGGGAAAGCACTGGGACAGTGATCCTGCGGCTGCCACTGCTAATTACGCATCAGTTTCTCTAGTTCTAAGAACGAGAAAGGAAGGTTCATAGAAATTACCTTAGCCAGTGTCACAAAACTAAGGGGGCAGCATTAGGATTTCACTTCGGATGCCTGATTCCAAAGTCCTGCTTTCTACTGCCTCTGAGAGCGGATCCTTATAAGGGTCTTAACAGGAAATGGGCATGTTGAAATGAGTGGCTTAAAGAGAGTTGAATGACAGGGCTGTTCATAAGGATGTAGACGCCACTGTGACTGGAGCGCAAAGAGAATGCTCTGTGGGGCCCGCAGCATGCCATCCAGACCCGCTACCCGCACTGAAGGGTCACAGCCAGCCCGTCAAGCCACTGCAAGGAGGAAGGCAAGTAAGGGAATGAACACCCAACCCCCCACGGGTCCCTAGTCTCCTGCTGGCATCTGCGTTAGCTGTACCCAACAGGGAGTCATGGGGTCTCAGAGCTCCAGTGATGCCCTCCGTGCAGATCAGGTGAGCCCCATGGGGACAGACAGGATGGAAAGCAGACCTGGGCAAGATGGCCAGCACAGCCTGTAACAATCTACCACAGCAGCTCATGTTAGGATCTCTCCATGAGCATGTTAGGGAAAAGTCCCAAAGAACTCAGCCTCACGCACAGTTTATTTTTTTTGGTGGGGGGGGGGGGGGGGGAGCTTCGCTTCAATCATCTCCTCCAGAAGTGGCCTCTGGGGGCCACAGAGGAGGGAAGACCAGGCCATTGTCATCAGAACAAGCTAGGCAGCCCTAGTGGCTCACCTCCCTCCACTGCCCCTCTGAACCCCTGCCTGGCCTGTGCCCTGTTCATCTGGCACACCCTGGAGAGCTGAGCCATCTGGTTTGGAAGGAAGGGAAGCAGATTAAGCTGACAGTCCTGGGAGGTCTGTCTCAAGAGAATGAGAGCTCCTTCCGCAGCTGGGTGGCCAGGACTTTGGGCTCTCAGTTAGTTAGTAGCCTTTACAGTGGTCTACAAGGCCCTGCATGATCTAGATACTCACTCCTCTAGCTGAATGTCCTACTAGACTCTCCCTGCCCACCCACAGTGGGTTCCTTGCTGGCCCAGGAACACAACAGGCATGCCCCCCTGCCCCCGCCCCAGGACATTTGCACTGGCTCTTCTCTCTGCAGGAACACACAACTCCAGATTCCTGCATGGCCCACTCCCTTATCCCCTTCACGTGAGCTCAAATGCCCTATCTCATAAGTCTTACCCTGACCACCCTCTTTAAACTGCACCCCAGCCCCCCAACACTCATGTTCTGCTCTGCTTCTCTAATATATAGCACTGCCTACCTTTTAATGCACTATGCAATTTCTTAAGCTTAATGTTTATTCTGTGTTTCCACCTACTAGAAGATGAACTCCATGAGGGCAGGAATTTTTTTTTTCTTTCTGTTTTTCTTCACTTATGTATCCCCGGTGCCTAGAACATTGCCAGACACACAGCAGGCCCTCAATAAATATTTATGGAATGAAGGAATGAAGCGATGAGTGAATGAGTAAGATTCTCATGGATCTAAAACGATCTGACCACTGTCTCCCAGACCTCTCTCTTCACCAGCACGTACCTCCAGGGATCTTTCCCAGAAATACATCAATCGTTTATTATCACCAGTACTGTCAATATTTTGTGGCCAAAGCGATCGATTTATCTGCGCACTTCACGTAGGCTTGGTAGGGGAAATGTACTCACGACTTTGGCTCTGTGTCAAAATTAAATGGTGACCTTGGCTTACTTTGCTTCCCCACAGAGGTTATTTCTTAATCGTAGAGAGAACACTCTCTCCTTGGGAAAAATAATATTTTTGCCACCTTCGGCTTGAAAATGGCTATTTGATATGGCTCGCGTGTGTCTCTGTCAGTGGCAGCTGGAAGAGTGCGGGTTGAAAGAGGCTCTGAGAAAGACCCGTCGCGTTGTCGGGGAGAAGCTCGTCGCAAGGTGGAATTAGTTTACAATAACTTATTTACCTGTCCAAATCCCTCATATCACATTAAAGCTTTCCCCTGCTATCCGGGACTCTGGAGTGCTAAGAGGAAACAGGAAAATCAATTGATAATGATATATTCAGTTTAGAAAAATATATCGATTCCCAGGTAATGACAGTTGTGTATTTTTGCAGTGGAGGATGCCATTTCTTGTCGTGAAGATGGCTTTCACATATATTACATTTGAAAGAGGGAACTGGGAATAGTCCTGCCTCGCCATAATAGATAGGCTCTTTCTACCAGGTATTAAATCTATGTTAAAAAAAAAAAAATTCTCTCCAGGGAACCCATCCTTTGCCTCCTCAAGGTCTTCTTGCCCATTATCTAAAGAAGTAATGATTTGTTTTTGTAATTCTAGAGTTTGTGTCCTATTCTCTTTCCAGCATTAGATTAAAGACCTGAATTTCTTATCTTTCCCCCTCTCTGGAGTTGCTTGGTTTGAATCAGATGGAAGGCCATGTCCTTATTCTCCCTCTTATCCACTGTTAATGGTTCCCCTGTGGGGATTAGGGCTTTGTGTGTTTGGGGGATGGGGGAGGGACATCTAGGTTCTGCCCCTTGGGGGTCTCCACTGCCTGCTTGGCCCCCCCTTATCTGGGAGTGCCCACGGCCGCCTTTGGGTACAGCCTGTGTGAGATGGTCCACACTTAGAAATTCCACACAGAGACAAGCTTCCACTTAGGGTGGGGACTCTCTAAGATACTGAAATTCCAAAGATCTTTTTGCAGAAGATGATATCTTTTCCCACCCCACCCCCACCCTTTTTCTTCTCTTTCTAGACTGTCTGGCCTCCGGGTGATGCTCACGCTGTGCTAAGTGTCGGTGGCCATCAAGGTTTTTGCATCCTGGGGACGAATCCTGACCTTGCCAGAGACGGACATCGAAAGGTAGGTCTCTGCTCAGCTCGCCTGCAGATAGGAAAGGCATCAGACCTGGGCACTCCCGGCTATGTTCTCGAACACTGATGTTCTAGGGGAAGTGAGGAAATGTAGCTGGCCCTCTCAGCCTTTTGGTCAGGGAGATTTTTACATAGATGCAGGATTAGAACCTAGCAAAGCCCCCGGGTCTCAGTCCTCCTGGGATCAACCTAAGAGCATTGCTATAGCTCTTATGGCTCCCCAGGACGTGGGATCCGGGGGCAGCCAGCGGCCGGGTCATCTTTAAGCTCCTCAACTGTAATGCTTCTTTGACAGTTTACCTTTTCTTGTTGTTAAAGTAGTTGTATTCAATATCATTAAAAGACTGCTCATTGTAAAAATACTTTAAAAGATAGCACCTAAAATTATATAAATTACTTAACACTCATAATGCCGAGAAATCACCACTTTAGTGTCTCTTTCTGGGCTTTCCTTCTCTGCACAACTGTAAAGTGTGCACGCACACATGCACCCACACATGCACACGTAAACGGGATCACACTGTATGTACCGCTTTTGACTTCACAGTAGGAAGGGTACATTTCTGATGTCAGTAAATACAAATCTATAGCACTTTAAAACTCTTCATATCATCTGGATAGAATAATCTACGCGATTTACTTAAGCAGTGCCCTAATGATGGGCATAGAGTGTATTCTTAATATCTGACTCCTACAAAACACAACAAACATTTTTGTACATATATGTTTGCATAGTGGTTTGATTATTTCCTTGGATTAAATTTATGGAGGTCTGGCCTCAAATTTTGACTCAGGATTTTCAAACCTAGATGATAAAAACCAGGTAACCAGGAGAGTTGGGGGGGAACGTGGCCTGCGTGTGAGGGCAGATATCTGATGACAAGAATCTGTAGGGATTGCTTGAACACCCAGCCAGCAGGCCAGGAATGAGCCTGCAGTAGCAGGGGAGCCTGGAAATGCAGCTGCCGACATCCACTTACTTACTGTTGCTCAGGAAAGAGGAGGATGGTCCTGGAATGAAGGTTGGAGGGGGTCGGCGGGGGGCACCGGGGTTCAGGACAGGTGAGGCTGAGCTGGCCCAGCCTAGCATGTCTGATGGCACTTGAGGCTTTAGAAGTCCATGGGCCAAAGCCATCTCTGCATAGCACGTGGGGCCCGGGACTGGGGAGGAGAAGACCATAGCAGCCCCAGGACTGCTTTGTTCTTAGGTGCCAGGCCTGGTGCCCTCTGATCAGGAGCCTCCGTGGCCTTTACCTGGGGCCAGCTTGTGGCCTGAGCCCAGCTTCTGTCTGCAGCAGGGGCCAGAACAGCAGACCGACAAGTTTCCAGCCATGTGCATGTTCCTTTTGGACTCAGAAAAGGCGGGCCTGGGGATGGCCCTCCTCTCCCAGAGCCCTGGCTTAGAGAGAAGCTACCGCAGCTCTAGGGTTGAGTTGTCAGTAGCCGTGGTTGTCAGCAAGCAGCAGGAGGAGGCTCCAGGGTGGGCCTGGATCAGCTGCCAAGATGGAAGAAGCGTCCACTGGGCATCCAGCCTGCTGCCACCCAGCAGCCCAGTGGGGACAACCAGCAGGGGCAGACGGGTTTCTGGCCTCGGGAGCTGCTGGGCTGTTGGCATGCATCTAATGGCACCGCTGAGTGGCTGGACAGCTGTCCTGGTTCGTCATCCTAGGCCCGAGGGGATGCTTTGCTTCTGTGACTGTCGGGTAAGAGGCGGGGAGTTACCAAACTAGACAGATCTAGTGATGGTGGCATCTTGGATCTGGTGATGGTGGCATTCCCAGCTCCTAGAGGGGGCAGAGGTGGAGATGAGTGTCTGAGAAGAGACTGAGGAGATACTCGTCACAGAAGTCAGCTTTCCAAGGATAAGCCTTCACGTTTTAAAATTTTAATGTTTATTTATTTTTGAGAGAGACCGAGAACAAGTGGGGGAGGGGCAGAGAGAGAGAGAGGGAGACACAGAATCGGAAGCAGGTTCCAGGCTCTGAGCTGTCAGCACAGAGCCTGATGTGGGGCTCGAACCCACAAAATGTGAGATCATGATCTGAGCCAAAGTCAGACGCTTAACTGACGGAGCCACCCAGGCGCCCCTGTATTTAATATTTAAAAAAAAAAAAAAGGTTTTTTTTTTAATGTTTATTTATTATTGAAAGACAGAGAGACACAGAGTGTGAGTAGGGGAGGGGCAGAGAGAGGAGGAGACACAGAATCCGAAGCAGGTTCCAGGCTCTGAGCTGTCAGCACAGAGCCTGACGTGGGGCTCGAACCCACAAGCCGAGAGACCATGACCTGAGCTGAATGAAGTCAGATGCTTAACCGACTGAGCCACCCAGGCGCCCCTGCCTTCACGTTTTAGACACTGTGAGTGGGGTGAGGTGAAGGGGATCTAGACGCCCAGGGGAATGGGTTTAACGGCCCCTATTTTGAGATCTGCTGTTCCCTCCCACTGACAGGGGAGGGCACATGGTTCTTATTTATCTCAGTCTTCAAGAAGCATGTATGTTAGGAAAGGGAGGGACCTCAATAGGACACCTGGTAGATCAACCCCCGGACCGGTGTCCCCACTGTGAACTCATGGCCATCTGCCCTGCCCTAGCCAGTTCCTGGAGAGGGAATCACATCTCATCTCTGTATCCCCTTCCACCACCCCCGCACAGCACCTGCTGGGGCTCTCGGTAAATACACCACTGCACACGCAGCCGCACCTGCTCCTGGGAACACCTCAGCCCGTGGCCCGGAGCCAGGTCGTGCTTGTCCCTTTGCCTCACACGCAGAACTCCATTGATTCCCAAGAAGATAGGACGTCTCCACAGCCCACCGTGTCCCCTGTGACCAGTGGAAGAAGCTATCACTTTCCTGTGGAAACTGGGCCGGATCACTAGGTTGTGTGTGTCCTGCTGCAGAACGGGGCCTGCTCAGATGCAAAGCAGGGCTGCTCCGTGCCTGTCCGTGACCGAGAGTGTGGTGCCAGAGCCAGCTGGCAGGAGCGAAACCTGATCCCTGCACTGCAGTGGGTGACCCTGGCAGGGGTGGAGCTCAGGGGAGCTAAAGCCGAGGACCCGGTTTATGCAGAACCATAGGCTGAGCCAAGAATGACATCACCAGACACCTAGACCTTGGAGGTGGGGAAAGGCAAGCCCTGACCCCCATCAGTGCTGAGACGCGCCCCTCTGCAGCCTCCCCAGCCTCCATCCCCGGGACCGTCTCGGCACCTCCCGTCCGGGCCCCTTGTCCCCCTGCATGCCATGCATCCTGAGACGACATTGCAGATGTCTCCAAAGCTAACGGCGCTTGGAACTCTTCCATTGGAGGACACTGTGTGCCATGCCCTGGACGTCCGCACTCAAGGCTGCTTCACCCGGCCAAGCCATTCGGAAGGTGCCCTTGCTGACCACACTCCCCGGTCTCTTGCCTTCCCTCACTTGCTTTATCTCAACAGCCGTGCTTCGTTCCATCCTTCTTTTCCTTCTTATCCATCCCCCTTTGGCTACCGTGTTCCCACCCAAAGACAGACCTGTGGGCAGACATCTCAGGGCTGCCTTCACTGTCACCTGCTTTTCCTTTTTCCTGGCTTCCTCTCCCGGCCCCACCCCTGCCTCGGCAGCCCCCACATCCACCGGGCTTCTGGGCATTCGGCCTCCTGAGGATGTTGTGGAAGCACATCAGCACCCCGGCACAGATCCTTCAGCAGGGTCCCCCCTTTCCCATCACCCCCCAAGCCTTCGGCCTGCCCCGTCCACATAATGACTAGCAGATGACCTATCTGCTACTTCGAGGAGACCCTGAACCTCTTTCCCTTGGCTTGGTGGGCCGTGTCACTCCATCTGTGTGACCACTCCAGCCCCTCTTCCTCTGCCTGCCTGTAAGGGAGGGCGTCAGTGCTACAAGATTTCCCTCAGCTTTCCTTTCTCTGCTTCATCTGTCCCCAGGGCTTCATTCTCAGATGGCATCTCTGTGCCGAGATCCCAACCACTTCTCCAGAGTCCTGAGAAACAGCCACGACCTGATTCGCACCCCAGACTTGGCCTGGCGGACACAGAGCCGCCTCGTTGCTCTCAGCCTTCGGCGGCCAGGCCACTCACCCCTCCCCGGTTGGGCGTCTCTGTCTCCTTTGCCTTGTGTTTCTCATCTTCCTTCCTGGACCACAAGCTCCTTGAGGACAGGGACCGTCCTCTTGTCTCCACATCGTGAGATCAGATGATCTTAGTTCCAAAATCACAGGACTGAAGGACAGAGAGACCTCACAGGCAATGGATGGACAGGACCCTGGACCAGGAGGCGGCCACTGGGCTCTCCTCCCAACCCTCGTACTAACTCTGGGGGAGCCCCAGAGAGCTGCCGAGTCTCCATCTCCTCCACTCACACTGAGGGCAAGCCCTGACCTTCCTAGCTCCCAGGAGAAGACCGGCAGGTCTTGCTGGGCCAGCAGTGTCAGCTCTCGGTGACTGCTGGAATCACCCGGAGAGCTTTCAAACATACGGATGCCCAGGTCCTGCCCCCAGACCTTCTAATTTAATTGTCCTTGTGAGAATGGATGTTGGTGTACTTTAAAGCCTTACCAAATTCCTGGACCCTAAGTCCTGAGGAATTGACACAGAGGTTATAGAGATTCAGCAAAACGAAGTTCCTGGTAAATAAAGGTAAATAAAGTTCCTTTATTTACCCTTTCAGATATTCTAAAATCTACCCCCTGGATCAAGCCATCCAAAAGCCAGACACTTGGGCCATCGCACTGTCAACCCCATTCATCTCACCCCACCCCAAAATGCTTTCACTTGAACCCTCTGGGCTGTTAGAAGTTCTTCTTTTCCTGTAGATCATACTGATGTGCCTACATTTAGGATTTTGTGGCAGTTAATGTTTATACCCTTGTCACTGTGATCTCTTTGCTGGGACCCTTGGGAGAAGTGTCTCTGATTTCAGCACAGACATGTTCTCCTCCTCAGCCTTTCCTGGCACCTACTATGGAATCACATTGTAACATCCGCTTCT